AGCCCAATTCCGTGGGAAAACCGCGGACTTGGAAACACTGCTTATGAACCGACCGCACTATAGCGTTTCCTTGTTTACCGCTGTAAACAAAGCTGAGTTGCGATTTATACGGAGGAGAAAATGCCATTGCCATCGAAACTTCTCCCAAGACAGTACCCTTCAGTGATACATTAATATAACCCCATAAATGTAATGCATTTTTGTACTTATTTTACTGTTTTTTTCGGGATCTACTGGGACAGTGATAAAGATCTACCAGTCGATCGCGATCGACGGGTTGGCGACCACTGGTGTAGATTAATGTTGAATAAAAAGTAATTTAAAGCAGTTTAACATAAGGCTGCAACATAACAAAATGTGAAAAAAATGTACTGTACCTGTACTTATTGATTTTCACGCTGATGTGAATCAAAAAGGACGAACATACAACAAATAAATCAGCATAAAATATTGGTTTATCGGTACACGACAGCCAGCAGGAGTAGTATTATGGATCGATATGTAGCTTACTCCGCCGAACAGAGATGTGAACCTTCAGAAGGTGGAGTTTGGTGGAGTTGGCCCTGAGGGATGAAACTGCACGGAAGATGGAAATATACGTCTGAGCTATTACACCTTTCTATTTTGTACTGAACATATTTCTTAGTTCCTTTGGTTAGATGTAAACACTGTAGAGCACAGATTATTAATGCTGGACCTGGAATGCATGGCTGGCGGCAGATTCTGTGTTGGGTGGATGAAGAATGCCCGAATCTCAGGAAATTATTTGCTTCAGATATTGATTTGCTCTGTTTTCAATATGCTACGATTATATGTTCGAGTTCTCAGGCTTGCAGCTTCACCAGTCATTTTCAGAACATAATCTAATCTAAATGCATTTTAATTTGCTTTTGCATTATTGATAAAAAAAGAATATTATTAAAAAACCTATAATTAATATGACACGCAAATCAAAAGCTACATCTGTAGCACAGCATATGGCAAATATCTGTTTCCCTCCAATAACACGTGTGCAAGTAAATTGTATTTTTATTGACTTTAATCTCTTAAGCCTGTAACATACTCTAAGTGTGTACACAGATGTTTCAAGCTACGCAACCAGTATTCTGTGCGTCATTCTAAAATGTCAGACTGAAGTTCATAACAAAACATATGTGAACATGTCATTCTTACTGCTGCCACAAGAGGTGTTAAAGAGTGAAGTGTCGTCTTCTGCGTTTATACATTTGGCAGATGCTTTTATCCAAATTGGACTTGTGTTGTTTTGATAGTTACATTTTTAACCAGTCAGGTTAAAAACTTTAAATTAAGTTCATGCAACCCCCTGGGAATCGAACCCAGTACTTTGGAGTTGTTAGCATGATGCTCTACAGTTTGAGCTACAGGAAAGTATAATGTGCCGTAGCCAATGGTCTCTTTCATCTGAATTTTCAGGGGAAAAAATAAGCTAATTATCTCTTTCAGGTAAAATTCCAGGTGAAAAATCTGCCAATTGTGTCTTTCAGGTGAATTTCCAGGTGAAAATGTGCCAACTGTCTCTTTCAGGTGGATTTTTAAGGGAAAATCTGCTATCTGTCTCTTTTTTGAATTAGGGTGACCACCCATCCTGCTTTGTGTTATACTGCACAGCATTTTCCCTCCTTGTCCCACATGTCGCATATTGAGAAAATGTCCCGCATTTTCATCAGTCTGTTGGTTTTCAATTGTCATGTCAAGAAAACGTGCATGCGTTCTTTTGCCTTTTTAAGAAAGCTTTTTAGTTATTCTTTTTGCGGCGTAGTTTCACCTATATTTAACAGCATTCTTCAAAATTAGCAACCCGCCTCACACAAATGCAAAAGATCAGTATTTACCAGTAGTAAATGTATCTGTCTCACACGTGTCCCGCATTGTCCCGCAAAATCACATCTACTGTCCCGCAACAGATCTATTGCCAGGTGGTCACCCTAGTGTGAAAGGTGAACATTTAGCTAATTGTCTCTTTCAGGTGAAATTTGATTTGAAAAGTCTACCAATTATCTTTTTGCAGGTGTATTTGCAGGTGAAACATCTGCCAACTGTCTCTTTCAGGTGAGAAAATACAAACAGTCTGAAGAGAATCATAATGAACAAGTTCAGCATGATTAGATCTGAATAGTAATAGCATAATATACAGTTCTGCTTATGGATATTTATTTCAACTTGCAGTTAAGTATCTTAAAACAAAGAACATATTTGCCAAATGTGATGCATCTAACTATTAACTTTGGTAAATCCAGTGATTAGTTCTTCTTCAGAGTGTTCATATCAACCCTGTACCAGACAGCAGATCGTAACTTCCGAGTTGTATTTGGCAGTTTTGTGTGCAACGTGCATCAGACGATCTGTTAAAGAACTGTGGGCATGACGTGAGGCTAAGACTGTAGAAGCAGGCTTATTAAAATCGAGAAAGTTGAGGAAAACACCACAGTATGACAGACATCAGCACTATGACAGGAAAAAAAACAGTCCTTTTTTTAGACAGGCAAATGCTGTGAGTGCCGCATCAATTTATCTTGAGAATATCTAGCGCCCCTAATAAAGTAAGCTGTTACCCGAGGGAAAAAGCTCTTAAACTGCTGCTGACCTGTGTGGATGTGTTTGCAGACGTCGAGAACTTCCTTCTCCCTGCGGTAAGGAAGTGTGACTACGAGGACACAAATTGGACTTCCTCACACTGTTCGATTGTGAGAACGCCGCACACCCTCTGGCAGCAATTATTGCCTCGGCTAACGCTCATCAACGGCTCGAGCCTGTGAGGATGACTTTGTAAGAACAACTCTCAATACAACTCCACAGCTGATTCCCGGACAAAGACATCTAACTTCTGAAGCTCAGATTTTCCCCAAAGCTTTGCTGTGCTGAGGGTGAATAACTATCGCTTTGTAACTGACACCGAGGTGTGTTCAAAAAAATGGTTTGATCCATTCACCTTTATGTCGAGATAAGCTCATCAAAGGTGAAGACAAAGATCAAGTAGATTTTGTAATTCTCCAGATCAAAGATCAACTTTTAAATTCTCAGGCAACTTGCCTGTGGCCTAAAGAAAAAGACAGGCAACAGACGGAGTGAATGCTTATTTTATGAGTTATAAAAGGAAAGTTTTGCATATTTAAAAACAGTTTTGAGTGTCCAATGCAATTTTTTAGCAGTTCTGTAGATTGTTTCTGCTGTGGGGTCAAAAATAAAAACGGTAATTGTGACTGTATCTCACAATTCAGACTTGTCATAATTCTGAGAAAGAAAGTAAGAATTCCAAGATGTAAACTCATAATTCTGAGGAAAAAAACGTAAGAATTGTGAACTGAATTCTGAGTTTAAAAGTCAGAATTTGCGAAATTTAAACTTAGAATTCTGGTTTTAAAAAAAAGTCAGTAATGCGAGATGTACTGTAAACCCAGAATTCTGAGAAAAAAGTCAGAATTTGCGAGATGTAAACTCAGAATTCTGAGGAAAAAGTAAGAATTGAGAGATGTAAACTCAGAATTGAGAGGGAAAAAAAGTCAGAATTGTGAAATGTAAACTCGAAATTCTGAAAAAAAAAGTCAGAAATGTGAAATGTAAACTCGAAATTCTGAAAAAAAAAGTCAGAATTGTGAAATGTAAACTCGTAATTCTGAAAAAAAAAGTCAGAAATGTGAAATGTAAAAATTCAGAGAAAAAAGTCAGAAATGCTTGATGTAAACTCAAATTTCTGAGAAAAAAGTCAGAATTGCGGGACGTAAAATTCGCAATTACGTTTTTTTTATTGTGGTGGAAACACACAGAAACTCAGAAAAAACTCAGAATTGTCAGATAAAAAAATCACGATTACCCTTTTTTTTCATCCTGTAGTGGAAACAAGTTTCCATACATTTCAATCACACACTGCCTGTTAAACTCCATGTAGATGTTCAGAACCTAGTCCTGAACGTACAATAATAGTTTATGGGCTTCCAGAAAAATTTCCATTCCATATAGAAGTATAAAATGTAAGTTGTTTCCTCATTCGTGACCTTCAAAGCATGCAAGAATGTATCATTAATCATAAATCTCACTTTAAATATATACCTCAATTTTTAACCCAGTAGGCACGGCTCTAAATAAGATGCTCCAGATACATCCATCAGTCACAACAAACTGATTTGCATAGATATATGCAAGAGAAACAAGTCATTTCCTCCCATCTCAACATTTTTCAGCCACAGAAACAGGCTCCTGGTGCTTTTGGGGTTATGGGGTATAGAGATATGATTTTGGGGTTATGAAGCGTACAGACACAACCACAAACCGTAGAAGTGTTTGACAGATGGCAGCAGACTTTACTTCCACACCCACATCTGTTAGTTCCATCATAATATTTTCTTTGTTACCTCAAAACCACATAAACCTCAAAGGTTTATGTTAAGCGCACACTACACTGAAGCTCCAATACCTGCTCGCGTGTAGAGATTCGTGATTTCTGCATGTCATGCTGCAAACTTAAAGCAACCAGACAAAATTTTAAAATCCATCATAAATTGATCAAAAGTAGCAGTATAGACATTTAATGTTCCGAAAAAATTCTATTTCAAATAAATGCTGTTCTTTTGAACTTTTTATTCATCAAATAATCCTAACAAAGTAAATAAATGCTGCTTCTACAAAAATATTAAGAAGCACAACTGCTAAAAAAAAAAAATACATGTTTCTTGAGCAACAAATCGGCATATTAGAATGATTTGTGAAGGATCGTGTGACACTGAAGACTGGAGTAATGATGCTGAAAATTCAGCTTTGATCACAGGAATAAATTATATTTTAAAATATATTCAAATAGAAAACCGTTATTTTGAATTATAATAATATTTCAAAATATTGCTATTTTTACTTTTTAAAAATCAAATAAATGCAATCTTGGTGAGCATAAGTATCTATAGTTTAAAAATATTTCAAAAATCTCACCAATCCCAAATTTTTGAATGGTAGTGCAAGATAACGATTTTTTGATAATCTGATAATCTTTTGCTCTATGGAAACTCTTAAATCACATTTGTGTTCCTATTCAAATTCAAAATCATTGAAGATTGACACCAATTGTTGAATGCATTAACCCAATATGATTCTAAATAGACAAAATAAAGAGTGCGATTTTAGACATATTCAGTGAATAACCACTTATTTTTGGCATGTTCCTCACAAAAATGGACAGAATTTTTACTTCGGTACATTGCTCCTTTAAAACATGCAATGAGGACACATATATGGACATATATTTGAGGATTTTGAAGTTTGATCATTGAATTTGAAGACAGTTCTAATGCTGAGTTAGAGTCTGGATCTGATTCCAGTCAAAAGTATGATTCATCTGTCTGACCGGAAGGAAACCTTTAAATCAGCATTTTCTATGGCTTTACATCTTTATACAGTTACTGTATGGTACAGATATACATTCCAGGTTGGAGATACTCAAACTGGGTTACTGCTTCGCCTGTGGAGAGAGTCTGAACTTGAGCCAGAGATTATTCAGGGTGGTATATGTCTAACAACTGTCATCGGCTATAGAAAGAGACCATTTTTCAAAGCTTAGTTGCTAGTCGAGACGCACCAGTGTGTTTCAGTGTTAAAAAAGTATACTGACCATGACTCACCCCCTCTACAAACACACACACACACACACACAGATATACTAATCTCTCTCATACTGTCAGGATAAAATCTCTCATAGCCCCTGTTTTAACTTTTTTTCATTTTTTAAATAAGTATACTGACCATGACTCACCCCCCCTACAAACACACACACACGCACACACACACACACACACACACACACACACACACACACAGATATACTGTATAGTCTCTCTCATACTGTCAGGATAAAATCTCTCATAGCCCCTGTTTTAACTTTTTTTTCATTTTTTAAATAGAACTCTCTTAATAGAACTTAAAAAAATATGATCTATAATGTATATTGGACATAGCTGGGTGGACTAAAGACACACATACTACTCAATAGTTCTGCTCCCTAAATGAGCTTCCTACCTAAACTGCAAGTTAAGGCATCAAAGGCACATTTACAGCACAAAGGTAACATTGATGTACAATTTCTTAACCTAATTTAATTACGGTCCAAATGGCAAGACAAATTCGAGCTTTCGGAGACAGAGAAAATGAGACAGCATTTAGAGAGAAAACTCTTTTCAGACAGTTTAACTTACCCTGACACAACTGCTGGTGAACACCATGACAACCTTTGAGCAAATGACATTTTTTCAAGAAGACAAAACAGAATATGACATCTTAAGATTGGACTCTGAAGAGATATAACTGTAGTCTTATAAGCTAAATTAAAATACATTCAATTGAAATATGTCTGATAAATAATGTTAAACTTTCAAAATATAATGAATAATCATTGCATGTTCACTCAAAAAATTTTTGTTTACTTTTTTTCTGGTTATATAACTCTCTTTTAAAATATTTATAATATTTATCCTAAAAAAACTCAATACCGTAATAAAAAAATATTTACAATTTCTGTAATAATTATATATGTATTTATTAGTATTATTGTTATTATTGTTGTTGTTGCTGCTGTTGTTGTTTTTATTTTTTTATTTATAACTTACATAACACTCTTTTTAAATATAATATTCAACCTCAAAATCAATATCTTAATTTTAAAAATATTTACAAATAATCATATATTTATATAATAACATTATAATATTTAATTATGTAATAATATTTTATGCAATTATTATTATTATTTGCACCATCTGTATAATAAATCTTGTCTAAACAGACCACATAAATACATTATAAAATATATAATAAAAGTATAAACAGTTATCTTTCATCTAATTTGTATCTGCATTCATATATTCTTCATAAGACAGTCACATTCATTTGCTAAATTATTGTATGGGCATTAAGTTGTGAAAATTGTTTACACCAAGTAGTATTAACATGTTTTTCCTGCTTACTAGTACAAGGAGTTGAGCATTTCAAGTGATATTGATTATATTTCAGAAGTCAAGACGAACTGAAGCATACCAGGAGAACATTTACATTGTTCAGAATATCTATTGGCTTTATTAATACTTTCCAAACCTTCACTCTATTCTAATGCACACTTGAAGTGTTAAACATGTAAAAGCGTAGTAGCAAAGGTCAAATCTTTATCGTCAGTTCAGCCTCAGTCTCAGAGAGCTTGTGCAGGATCTGTGCTGCTAAGAGATTCCATTCACTTCCACTCATTATAGACTTTGCCGTCTGAAAGACAGAAAACCCTCTACAGGAGTGAACTTTTCATCTCTCAAGGACTAATCTTTGAACGGCACATGAGTGCATCTGCAATCTAATTCATCACTGCCTACCTGAAAGTGTCTGCAGCTAAAGACTTATGATCAGGGAAGAGCACAGGTGTGGCACACTGGTGCTCTGCTGGAGGGCAAGAGCGTTTGGAATTAAACGCAGCGCTATATGATACACCGCTCTGCTGCATCTGAATCCCTGGTCTGTTTTCAATTTAACTTGTTCACTGTGGGTAAATGTAATATTTTAAGGGGTCACTTCATGCGCTTTAATCGACTGGATTGCTGGGTGTGTAGATTTCACACTTTGCCACATAAATGCATCTCCACAAAATGGATCTGATCTAGTATTCCCGTGCTACTGCTCGCTCATTTCTGGATTGCGGAGCTCCCAAACTTTTGCATGATGATGTTTCTTTTGTAAAGAGCAAAGTTTATGTGGTGTAAATCTAAGCTTACAACCTTGTTTTAAACCACTTTGGATTCTGCTCATCTGTCTTGATTGCATCTTGAAGGGTATTTACACTTGGTCTTTTCGAGACTGGATAACTATCCAATCAGTAAAATAAGCTATATGGAAAAAAGCTTGAATATATATATTTTTTCAAACCTCAGATTTCATTCTTCAAAGAATGGTTAATAAAATAAAATAAAATAAAATAAAATAATACTTATTAAATTAAATTAAATTAAATTAAATTCATCTTTGCGAATTACATAAATGCTGCTTCTTGTTGAGGTTGGGGTTTATCAGACTGCTAACCTGTTTAAGCAGATTCCTTTCCCAATCATACATCTCTATTTTTTGATTATAAACAGCCTAGAGTTGTTGGTGCAAATACCAGAGTTGAAATTTCCCACTTCCGAACTCAATGCATTCCAGTAAATCACGTTATTCTTACATGTACACCGAATGGTGGTGCCATGATTGAACAAGAACACCTTGTGTTTTTATGCAAGTTATGGTCAAAATGTAATGCAAATCCAAGCATCTTCATTTATGACATTATAAACTTTTTGTCACGCTATACTCGTCAATCGCCACCATCTTTGTGAATTATGTAAATGCTGCTTCTCGCTTAGTTCAGGGTTTGTCGATCTAAGCATCAAGGTCCACCTCTAAACAAAACATCACTGGGGTGTAAAACGAATGATGAATGAAACCGTACAAATGTATAAGAATTCAAATTCCAAGCCACCGAAATGTAAAATAGTTAGAATTGGATTTTGTTGGTCAATCACTGAGTTCAATGACCTTTAGTTCTATATTTCCATTCTCTTCATTTTCTTGTCATTGTGTAAACAAATTTATGAAATCGTGTGTAAGTGCATTTTTGGCAAAGTCTGCACTCTGGAAATGTCTTAAAAACTCATTTATAATGCATACTAACAGTCACAGAGGGATAAAAGGGTCACCTACACTCATTTATAGAAACACTTCAGTTTAAACACATGCATTATTAAATATTTAAAAGGTTCAGAGTTCAAAAGATTCTGCAAAACAGGAATGACCCTAAGATGCATGGTATATAAAGCGTGTAGTATACATTTGTCAGATTACCAGAATCAAATAGCATAATTCGTTTTTACTGCATACTCATTATGGGTCTTCATTACACCCTCTTAAGCAGTCTTCAGTGCACGCTCTAGTTGATTAAACCACACTGTGATTGAAAAAGAGCTGAAATTTGAACTAATTTCGGTTTCATTTCATAAGCACAAATCAAACCGCCTCTCTTCCCACACACAAACCCGCTGTTGGTGAGTCTAGTCTGTTCATGTCAAGTCTGTTCATGCCTCGTCAAGTCAAGTCTGTTCATGTCAAGTCAAGTCACGGATTATTGTTTCTAGTCTTCGTCTGTTTGGATTATGTTTGGATGTTTGGATCACTGTAAATAAACTGCACTTGGGTTCTCACTTCAACACTCGCCTTCAGTGGATAATTCGTTACATTTGCAATACAATATGAACACAATAAGTACAGTGTACTTATATTTTTGATGTAGGCACATAGTAGTTAAGGCCACCTAATATAAAGTGGGGCCCACTGCATTTATAGTGTATGGGAAGTTATTAAGTAGTAATGAAGCTTTTGCAAACATTTGTTGTTTGGATAAAAGTATCTCAAAAAAAAAATCACATAAAAATAAGAAAGTTGGCTTTTCGGGTGCCTCTTCGGGTTCATTGCATTTTTTTTTTTTTGGCAAGTATTATATTATATTATATTATATTATATACAAAAACTATGCATTTAATAAATACTTTATATATAAATACTTTACAATTTAAATATATAATTTTTTTGCATTAAACAGAATGAGACTCTCTGCATCAGTAATGACAGAAAATTAGGAGAAAACATTTTGAATTATCCTAAAAAATAACATCACTTCATGTTCCAACAACTAGGCTAATAATTACTTTTTTCTTTTGATTTTGAGGTGAAATATGGCATTCTTGACAGGTTGTGTGAGATTCACCAAATATAATCAAATACAATGAATCCTTCTTTTTACCTTGTAGTCAGGCACACGTTTTTCCACCCAGCGCTTGCCGTAATGTGGAGGCAGGACCGTCCGGTATACATGAGGAAACACTGGAAGTAGATCCACACTTGCAGAAGGTTGGAAACCCAACACATGAGGCCTGGACGGGATCTCCCACTGGGACAGCCAAGCAGAAGAGAAGAACAAATTACCGCTGAGATCTATTCTGATCCATCTCATTAAGAAGAAGTGAAGAACTGAATCAGGCCTGGCTGGAATGAAAGCTGTTAAGAAATCACTTTGGTCATTTATGTTTTGGAAGTCTTTTTGGAATAACACCTGCTGTTCTTCACCAACTGCAACAGAATAAATGATAAATTCCCAAGCATCAGCATAAAACATGAAATGTTTTTCCTCATAACATTTATGGCAGCAGACTTTTCTGGAACAGAGAAACCGCTAAACCTCTTGTTAGTGGTTCTTTACTGTGGGATGATTGGGAAATTGACTTCATTTGTTAGCATCAGTGGTTCCATGAAGAACCTTCCAACACAGTGTCACCCAACACAAATGTTTTTTTTTATTTTTTTTTATTCTACACTTTTAACTTGTGATAAAATCTAAAACTTAAGAGGTTAAGTTCACTACAACAATGGTTTATAGATTTCAGCCTATATGCAGCCATTGAGTACTACAGCCATATACTGTAGTGGCTATTGATATTTTTTTTATTTTTATACCATCATACGTCACCAAACTCACCAAAATTGTAGGTTTTGGCTGTCTGAACTTACTGGAATTTTTTTTGTTTTATTGAAGTATAAGAAATATTAAATATAACATAAAAATAAGCATATTTTACATTAAATATATGGTACTTTTAGAGGTAAATAAATAAAAATCACAAAAAAAAATCACAAAAAAACGGCATAAATTGATAGTTTTTTTTATTTTATCGAAGACAGTGATATGACATTTATTTTTTTTTTAAAATTGGGATCACAGGTGAGACCTTCGTGCCCAAATTTGTCCACGAAGAACAAAGTAAGGGCTGCTATACGAAGGATGCTTGAGGGTTAAGAACTGTTCACTGAAAGGTTCCTTTGGGAACCAAAAAATGTTGTTGTTTTTTTCCATGGCAAAAAAAAAAAACAAAAAAAAACTTTGGGGAACTTTATTCTTATGAGTGCAAGACTATTGGTGTTTGGGTTCATTGAATCACCAGTTTATAGAAGGTTTTCTAAAGAACTGAAAGTTCTATCACGCTCTGCTCTGCATCAATGCCTCTCTGCAGTAGCAGTCAATCAAAGGCTTCTGAAGGCTGTCTGCAACTCAAAGACTCTGTTTAAATAATATACCGTATTGGCCCGAATATAAGACGACCCTGATTATAAGACACCCCCCTTTTTCCAGATGTACCTTTTGGAAAAAGGCTTTTTAAAAGCCAAATCTTGTTTTTTCTCAGTAAAACACATTTTGTCTTCAATTATTTTCATATTGCATATTTTTCCTATTTTAATTTTTGTTTTGAAAGTATGGTAAAAACTGGTCAAATGTACCAACAATCACATTGAAAAAATATACACTTTTGATGTACCATAAAAAAAAAGGTAGCCCATCTGAATTAGGACATTTAGGCTATCCATCTAAAAGTAGCCTACCAAAATCTTATTAAAAAGTTAAATCTTACTGTAGTCTTCAAATCTGGGTACTGTCTTACGTTTTAAAATCACAAAGGGAGTTTGGTCCCATCAGGCTAACGTGACAGTCACGACTCATGCAGCTGTAAGGTTTTCTGCTTCTTTTGTTTTTACTCGCGATCTTTACAACACGCATTACATTACGTATTTCATGGCACACTCGTTTTATGCGGTTTTGGAATATAAGACCACCGCGTTTTTTCAGATGTATTTCCAAGAAAAAAACATTGTCTTATATTCGGGACAATACGGTACTCTTTTATCCCACTGTCTCTGTCTCTCTCTCTCTCTCTGGTTCCAGTACGACTGAGTTCATGCTTGCCACCTCCTCTGAACGGCACTTTAATGATGTGAAAGCACAAAGTTCTCAATGCCAGGGCTGTGGAGCAGTGGTGATCATGCCTCTGCCCGGCACACAGATTAAATGTCACGCTGAGTTTGAGTCGTGAGGGGGAAGCAACTGCAGATGTGAGGGTCATCTTGAGCGCAGCGCCTCTAATGGTGAAGCAGTGAAGATGAAGGGAGGTAATGCACGGAATTTTGATTTTCTGCTTTAACGGTGGAATCAGTTCACCAAAAGTGATCAAACATTATCAAAATCAAATATTGTCCTGCACATTTCAGTCCTTCCTGGCCATATTACTAGGCATATTCTAGCAGCTTTCAGTCCTTAAAAAAAAAAGATTTTAAGATTTAATCAAGACCGTGAATCATTGTATTCAAAAGGCTCCTTGACTAATTCATTACCACAGAAAGTCAAAATGCTCAGATGAAGATTTTTCATTTTGTGCCAGTGATTGAAAAACTAAACTTAGTGTAGTGATTTACAGTATATTTATATTTACTGCACAAATGGTAGCTGCACATCCTTTTGATGCAAAAACTACTATAGGATCACTGTCTAATACTACAGAAAAGTAATGTTTTTGACCTAGAAGAAAAAAAAGTACAAAAAGTAAATAGATTAAGATAGTAAAATATTACTCACTGCATGCACACACTCATTTGTGGCGTATGACCTCCGACCTTTGGCCAAAAAGAGAGCCATTTATGCTGCCTTTCGTAAATACCAGTTTCCAAGTTGGAAACAACTGGACATGAACAGCCTCTCAAGTTGTATTTACAACTGGGAAACTCTGACATAATTTCAATATGCAAATTGGGTGAACCATAAACTTTTACTACAAGAACTATTGCTCTAGTGACTTACATTTTGTTCATTTTTCCTACAACATATTCACTGATTTTTCTTGCCATTACAGTCATGTATATTTACATATATAAATAACCATTTGATGCATTTTGTTTGTATTTTACAAAGCAAAAACAACACTCATTTTACCGAAACGTGATGACTACTATCTAGATGTGAATGTATACAATAGAGTGGTAATGTTTATATGTTTGTCAGTGAATGGGATGATCCTTTTTTTTTCCAAAATCCAATTTGGATATTAAATATGTTTAATTGCCCCTATTATGGGTAATGAAAGCTTCATATTTTGGTTTTGGGAGTCCCCAACAACAGGTTGACATGCATGCAATGTCAAAAAACACTTTCATTGTCTTATAATATGCATTTATTTTTACCTTACTTGCTCAAGGACTCCCAAACGATTCACTCAATGATTCATTTTTCCAAACCCCTCCTTTGCGTGACGCTAATCTGCGGTGATTGGTCCGATTGGTCTCATTTTCATTTCATCTTGCCTGTAATGCCTGATAAAGCAGCTTTTGTGAGAGCAGGGCTGCTTTGTGTACAGCGTTACCAGGGAAACAGCTATTTTTACCCTCCAAAAGCAGCACCTAGTGGCAAAGAATATGCTATATGCTATATGGCAATATGCTAATGTTTCATGTTGACGTCAACATGAAACGGCTTGGGATTCGTTTTAAAAACGTTTCACTCGTTTCAATGATTCAGAGTCGACTCTTTCTTTTGAGAGACAATAACTTTATACACGGTGCACTTTCAGATTTACTTAGAGCTGTGTTACACACTGCATGAAAGGTAATTTTCAAAAATCCATAATAGGGACACTTTAATTTTGGCTTTAGAAATTGGCAAAAAATGAACCTATAGTCCTCCACGATTCATATTCTTTCCAACAAGAAAGCCCTTGAACATGATAAACTTATAATTATGACTTCAGAAGTGGGAAATAAGAAATTTCAGACAGCATGTGAAGACAGCAGTAACAAACTAAGATAAAAATTGAAGTTTTGTTTATTTCAGTCTGTTTGTTTCCTCTGAGATCTTCTAAATGCTCTCCTACAAGTTTACAAAGTATACACATGTAAAATGTAGTCTTTTCTTTGAAAATTGACCACAAATATGTATGACTCATCTTTTTCCACAGGGCTGTATACATTTTCTTTATTTCCCCCCCAATAAGATGCTTTCTGGAATGAGAATGTTTCTCTCTCTAAGATCTCAACAGCAAGTAGCAAATCATTACTCACAGGTGTGATGCAAACTAAAGGCTTCTGGCTATTTAAAGTGGTCATATGATGCGATTTCAATTTTTCCTTTCTCTTTGGAGTGTTACAAGCTCTTGGTGCATAAAGAAGATCTGTAAAGTTGCAAAGACTAAAGTCTCAAATCCAAAGAGATATTCTTTATAAAAGTTAAAAGTCAGCCACGCCTACCTAAAACGGCTCGTTCTAACACACCCCCACATACCTACGTCACGATCTGGGAAAATTTGCATAACGCCGCCCAAATGTTAACGCAAAGAAAGAAGGCGTAACTTTAATTCTCACTGTAGTATTGTTGACGCTGCAGCCATGTCGTGAAGACGCTGTGTGCTTCGTTGTGAAAGCGAAACTACTTTGTTTGACCTTCCAAAAGAGGACGATATCCGCTTCGTCATGCCTAGAGCTGATCCGTGCTGGTCGCTGAGACAATACATCAACTTTGCGCTGTGGATAACCGGATCGGCTTTCACCGTGGACGAAGCGAAGTCCAGCCCGGGGTCGTCACACGTGGTTGCCGCAGGCATCACAATATGGTAAGGGACGTAACATTTCCGTCACACGCTTGAGGAATACGGCCACCCACAATGCACTGGATAGCTGGCCAATCAGAGCACA